CGGCTCGGGGGAGCGGGGACAGCCCCAGCACGCTGGGGTGGGGCACGAAACCCGGCTACCAGACCCGGCTGTTGGGCTAGCGAAGGGAGGCTGCAAGGATTGAGGGTGCAGGGGTACACCCACCCCAGTCCCCAGAGCCTTGGGGGGCTCCTGGGAGGGACACAACACCCATCACCATGGGCTTGGCTGGCAGGGATGCTCCTCTTGGAGCAAACCAGTCCAAAGTCACTCACAGCGGGGGTCTCAAAGTTTTGGGGGCAGGTTTGATTGACAGCAATGACTGACTGGAATCTAGTAGGGCTTTTGAGGGTTTTCCACCGACCCCTCTGCTTGTGGAGGGTCTGGGGGGCTGCGAAGGGTCTCTGAGGATGAGACAGGTCAGTGGCCCAAAGGGGACTTTAGGCTGAACTCATCCCAAGCCAGAGAAGGTGCCTGGAAGGCTGAGGAAGGATGCTGTGACCTGGATAATTAGGGTTCCTGCCTCACCTCCATGCTTCACTCACTCCTCTCCAGCTTTAGTGATTGATTTAAAAATCAAGGATTTTTAAACAGCCTTTATATTTGATTTGAGAAATTTGGGCTTTTCCCTCTCCTTGCTTCCACCACTGCCTGCAATAGGAAAAAGGCATCAGGAGAAGGAGAGGAGGAAGCTGGGGAGGTGCCACATTTAAGGTGATCACAGAATCATTGAGGTTTGAAAAGACTGTTAAGCTCATCAACCCAGCACCACCCTGTTCACCACTAAAACATGTTCTCAGGTGCCACATCCACACTCTCTGAACACTCCCAGGGGTGGTGACTCCACCACTTCCCTGGGCTGCCTGTTCTAATTCCAAGGGGGGAGAAGAAGTAGTCCAGGAGAGAACAGGCACCATCCTTGAGGGAAGCTCAGACAACAGCACAGGGACAACCCATTCCTGTGTGACTGGTCCTGGGGCTCAGTGACCTTAGAGAGAGAACCTGGACACCGTGTCCAGGCTTATTATAATACAGCTTATTAAACAGTATATAATATCTATAAAAGTCACACATATACAATATATAAACCTTATCATACAATGAGGCTCCTGCAGCTGAACCTGACTGTGGGACTGCTCAGATGAATCCCAAATTGCTCCCCTGCAATCCTGGGTTCAGAAGTGCAGCTTTTCAGCTTTTCCTTCCATTCACAAGCGCTGCCAAGTCATTTGGATCCTGGGAAAAAGCCTCTCCTCTGCCTGGGGAAGGATAGGACAGGAAACAAGCAGGGAGGAAGCAGTGCCTTCTTCACCCCCCTCCCCATCTAAGTCCATCCCTGGGTATGGGAGGGAAAAGTCACAGGGACCTGCAGCAGCAGGAGCCCTGGAAAAACTCTGGCATCTGCAGGATCCAGGGGAATCCAAAGGGGCCACGGATGAAAGCTGACACAGAAAGAAAATGCTCTTTTTGAGCTACAAATGCTGGCACAGCTGCTGGCCAGACCCCCTTCCAAATCCTGAAACATGCCAGCAAGGGGATGGGAATCATTAACTGGCTCCTTTGTGTGATTTAACCAGTTCCACCTCCTCCTGCCCCCTGAAAAAGCTCAGATTCCTTAGGATTTCCAGCCCCCCGATGCTGCAGTGCCAGGGGCTCCCCCCCAGCAGCAGGAAGGGGCTGAGAGAACCCCTGATGGAGAAGACAGGGCTCCCTGTCCCCTCCTCCAAAGCTTTTAAAGGCCAAAGCCATGGGCACAGGGCTTTTCTGCAGGGGTAGATGCCCAGGAAAGATGCCAACCAGCACCCAGGGGAAATGCAGAGTGGTTTGATGCTCCTTTCAAAGCACAGAGCCTTGGAAAGCCCCCGGCCTCAGAAGGGAATGGGAAAAAAAAAAAGCCTGTGTCTTGCAACTAAAGCAGTTGGCTGAGAGCTACAGGGTGATGTAGGATGGATGCTGAGCAGGGTGGGGACCTCTGTCCAGGGGAGCTGGGACACAGCCCTGCCAGACTGGGCAGGCATTAATTTTGCTGTGGAGAGCCAAGCCCTTGGGGTTCCTGGGCTCAGGAACAGCAATGTGGGGGTCTGCAGCCTTATCTGTGCGTGCTCTGGAGCAGGACCCCCTTGTCAGAGGCAGCAAAGCAGCAGGAGGGAGGGAGGGAGGGAGGGAGGAATGTGAGAGCTTGCAAAGCATCTCACTGCGGGAGTTGGAGCTGCCAGGAGGAGGGGATGCGTTTCAGGAAACCCAGAGAGGCAGGAAATCAAGGGAGAGGGACAGTAATTGAGTCCATATGTTGGAAGCAAAGAATGCATCTGGTAGCAGGGAGCAGGCAAAGGGAGAAGGCTCATGCTGTGGGGACAGCACAGGACATGCAGAGTCACATTAACCTCCTGGACCAAGCAGAAGGTTGAATTCAGACCAACCACAACTGCTGGGAGGGGTCACTGGTCTCTTGTTGCAGGTCTGTGCCTGTAGTAGCTACAGGCTCAGGAGGCTTCCAAACTTAAACTCATTAATATCTTTAATGAGTAAAGTTGCAAAAAGGTGAAGGAAATGGCTGTTGTATCACAAAGTGACAGGGTTTGTTCTACATCCATGTCCCTGAGCATGTCTGGAGCTGGGATGTAAAGTGGACAACATGAAAACATGGGCAAGAGGGATATCAGGTCCTTCTGCTCCCCAAAAGCAGCACAGCTCTGGTGCAGGAGAACCTGCTGATGCAGGATTGACTCAGAGGTGAGGGCACAGTCAGGGGGATGAATGAGGAACCTGGGGCTGCACAGTCATCACAAGGCTGTCCCACAGAGCCAATCCCACAGAGGCCATTCCCCTCATTTAGGTATTCCCAGGTTCAGGCTCCAGAGCTGGAAAAGCTCATAAAAATATTTATGGCCTCCCCCCCTTCTCCCTTTTCAAACACATTTGCAAAGAAATCTGAAACATATGTGGTTGGAATAGAGGAGTCTGGAACAGCACCATGGCTTGGGAAGGGGGAGAAGAGCTCTGGTGCCAACAACCCACTGAGCCTCCCAAGAAATCAGGGGAGGGGATGGAGCACAGGAATACAGGGCTGAATGGGTGCACAGGCTTTGGTGTGTCATGCAAATTGCTGCATTTTATACAGCCAAAAAGCCTCTCAGGAAGACCCTCAGGTTTAAGAAGGTTCTCTGTACCCAAGCAGGCTTTGCACATCGCTGAAGGTGGCTGTGCTGTGAGGTGTCCCTCAGCCACATGTAAAACTCCTCAGGCAAACCTGCAAATTGCTGCTCTCAGGACTCGTGTTCTCAGTAAACTGCAACACCACTTGTGCTGTCCCAAGTTTCCATCCCTGGGAATCCAGCTCCAGAGCATTTTTCTTTCATCTGCAGGCTCTCTACACATGCTACTTGTAGGGCTTTGCATCCAGACCAAAACTTCTGCTGCCCCAAACACCCATTTCATCCCATACCTGCGTTTGTGCCTGTTCCCTGCTGCTCTCACTCCTGGGGCTTCTCCTCTGCCTCCTCCCTCACCAGCTTCAAACAGCAGATCATGTTTCATGCTGCTCCTGATTCTCCACGGCAGCTTCTGCAGCACGGGAGACACAGCTGCTGTGGGGCTGCAGGAGGGGTGGGAGGGGGGAAAAAACACACAAAAGTGGTTAAAATCCTCCCTTGGAAGGGGGAGCGTGAGGAGCAGGGCAGAGCTGAGCAATGGGGCTCTGGTGTAATTGAAGATGTCCCTGTTCATTGCAGGGGGGTTGGAAGGTGGTATTAGGGGGCAATTCCTCTCTGTGAGGGTGGGGAGGCCCTGGCACGAGTTGCCCAAAGAAGCTGTGGCTGCCCCTGGATCCCTGGAAGTGTCCAAGGCCAGGTTGGACGGGGCTTGGAGCAACCTGGTCTAGTGGGAGGTGTCCCTGCCCATGGCAGGGGGTGGCACTGGATGATTTTTAACGTCCCTTTCAACCCAAACCATTCTGTGATTTTCTATGATCTGGGCAATAAAGTTTTTCAGAGTTGAGAGGAAAAGTCATTTTACTCACCAGAAACCTCTTTCTCAAGTTGTAAAACTCTGTGTAGTTGCTACCAAGTCACCTTCTGGGGAGCCAACAGGAAGTTTTTGCTTCAGGACTGTGCAAAGATGCTCTGGTTTGAGCACATCCTTTGCAGCTTCTCACACTGTATCTTGGCATCCTTAAAGCTGTAAAACCCAGAAGTCAAGGACCATAACCCAAACATGAAGTGGAAAACCCCAGAGGAACGTCAGACTGCAACATTGCACCCCACCCATGGTTCCTCCCCACTCAGAGGTTCCAGCAGACCATGATGCTGAGATGGACCCAGCCCAACCTGCTCAGTGCCTGGGGGACACTTACACCTCCAGTGACAAGGGTGGACAAGGGGAAACAGCCTCATGGGGAGGGTCAGGTTGGACACCAGGAGGAATTTCTCCCTGGAAAGGGTGGTCAGGCCTTGGCAGGGGCTGCCCAGGGAGGTTTGGAGTCCCCAGCCCTGGAGGTGTCCCAGGAAGGCCTGGCTGTGGCACTGAGTGCTCTGGGCTGGGGACAAGGTGGGGATGGGGCACAGGGGGGACTGAAAGATCTGGGAGGGCTTTTCCAGCCTCAGTGATTCCGTGGTACAGCCCTGACTGCTCCAAGTGCACCAGAACACTGCAACACCCAGGCACTCAGAGCAGCCCTTGGCAATCCCACAGCACTGCCAGCAAACCAGCAGGCTCCAAGCAGTCCAGAAACTCCAGGAATGCAGTCAGGCAACTCATTTTTAGATGGCAACTAAACAGAGCAGTGATCCCTTTGCACAAAGATGTCAAAGAGGCTCAGAGTGACAGAATTCCCTGTGGATGGCAAACAGCATCTCTGCAGCACTTTGAGATCCCCCCCCCAGCTGCAGAGGAAGATTCCATGGTCTATACCACACCAGAAATGTCTTTTCCCACATAACAGACCCTTCTACTCTCTCTCCAAACTTTACTGAGACCCATGGATCCCTTCTGCCACAACTCACATCCACTTTGAAATATTTTTTTTCCTAAAAGCAGAAGGATATTGTCAATTTTCCCCCACAGATTTGTCACTCTTATCTTATCTGTGTCAGCTGGGAAGTTCAGAATATTCCACTGCACATTAAAAATCTGTCCTTTTGTCCTGTTTAAGCTTGTCCTCGAGTTCTCAGCAGACACTGAAAAAAAAAAAAAGACATAAAAATAGAGAAGGACATTCCTAAAATATTTGCTTTAAGCAGGAGCAGTTTCTATCCTGCAACTGTCTCCAGTTGTACCCACTGAAAATCCCTTTGACCTCACTGCTGGGAGTGTGGCTCATCCCCCCTGCACAGATCCAGGCAAGTAACCCCCCAAAAACATAATTAACTGCTTCAGGCAATACCTCAGTGCTCCCTCAGGAGCAGATCTGCCAGGAAACACGGTCCTTCCTGCCCCTGGATGGTGTGTGTGTGCTCAGAGCCAGGGCAAAGCTCATCACACAGATGCTCATGTGCATTTTCCAGGCAGATCTGAGAGCTCTGCAGCATAAATACACATGAAAGCTGAAAAAAAACTCTGCCCCCTCTTTTTTTCACATTATTTTGGTATGGGACACACACCCCAGGGAAGGTCTGCAAGCTTTAACAGTCTCCAAAGTGAGGGAAAAAAGTGGATTTCTTTGGATTTATTTTTTCCAGCTCTTTCAAGACTGGCAGCTTGAACAGTGAAAAGACCCTGAGAAGTGACTGCCCAGCTCCAGTGCAGCTGGAGGGCACTGGGTTATACTGGGGGGTTACTGTATGTTGGAAGAGGGTTTATAGCTGAATATCAATATTAGACCAGGTAAGACATAGATGGATAATATAAATTTAACAATAACAACAAATATAAATATAAATATAAATATAAATATAAATATAAATATAAATATAAATATAAATATAAATATAAATATAAATAATAAATAATAAATATAAATATTAGACTGGAGCAGAGTTTGAGGGGGGCACAGTCAGTTGTTCAGCAAGTTTTCATCCTCTCAGGGACGGATGCATCTGCACTCCACATCCTGCCTCCTGCTTTCCTTCCTCCCTGGACACTGACTCAGCACCTCCAGCCTTTTACCACAGGTCAAAACAATAGGTATCCTTCCTCCCAGCCATCACATCCGCTCGTTTCATCAATAATTCTTTCCCTCTGCAGTCCAGCACAGCCACAGCTTTAAAAGGAAAAGGCTTCCACTGCAACCACACAAATAAAGCATCTTTAGGAAGCAGCCTCAGGCTTTGCAGACACAGCAATGAGTCAAAATTGTCTTTGCTCAGAGCTGCTGAGATCCAAAAAACCCCCTGTTCCTGAGCCACAGCAAACACCTCTTCATCTCTGGGATCACTTCTGAGCCCAGGACTGTGTGTCTTGGAGCTGGACATGAGAAAATCTGCTCAGGAAAAATTCTGGTCAGGAAAAAAGAGCACACAAGAAGCATCGAAAGCCTTGCCAGCAGGTATTTCCAGGTGCTGGAAACCCTCTGGAAGTACTTCCTTGCCACCCACGTGCTGGGAAAAAAACCTGGAGGGCACCAACCACTTCCCTGAGCTGCCCAGAGACAAGGACTCACCTTGCAGAGAGATGAATTCTCTAGTTCTGTGCATCTCTGCTCCAGAGTCTCCAGGCTAGAGCCATCCCCCTGAGGACACCCACACGTTGGGACCTGCTTTGAGACAAGGAGATGGAGCCCACACACAGGATCATACTCAGGCCACTCTACCAAGCAACAAAATGAGGATTATTTTTAGTGACAGAGGCAGCAGGTGTTTGGGACCCACCTGCAGCACTGCATCCAGTCCTGGGGCCCACAGCAGCAGAAGGATGTGGAGCTGTTGGAGGGAGTCCAGAGGATGCCATGGAGGTGCTCCAAGGGCTGGAGCCCCTCTGCTCTGGAGCCAGGCTGGGAGAGCTGGGGGGGGTTCACCTGGAGAAGAGAAGGCTCCAGGGAGACCTGAGAGCCCCTTGCAGGGCCTAAAGGGGCTCCAGGAGAGCTGGAGAGGGACTGGGGACAAGGCATGGAGGGACAGGATAAGGGAGAATGGCTTCCCACTGCCAGAGGGCAGGGATAGATGGGATATTGGGGAGAAATTCCTCCCTGGGAAGGTGGTGAGGCCCTGGCACAGGTTGCCCAGAGAAGCTGTGGCTGCCCCTGGATCCCTGGAAGTGTCCAAGACCAGGTTGGACGGGGCTTGGAGCAACCTGGGCTGGTGGAAGGTGTCCCTGCCCATGGCAAGGGGTTGGACTAGAAGCCTTTAAAGTTTTCTTCCAACCCAAACCCTTCTGTGAGCCTGCAGTAGGTGCAGGGGGTGTGCAGGCACTGGGGACTGGCAGGCAGAGATCTTCCCTCTGCCATCGTCAGCTCTCACTTGTACGATCAGAGGCTGAAAGCATTAAACGATGCCTGAAGCCCCCCAGGCTTCAGAGCTATCAAAGACTTGTCTCCTGCTGACCTGAGGCAGAGTCCAGCAGGGTGACAAGCACAGAAATCAGCAGGAGGATGAGGCAGAGAGATGTGTCTGAGCAGAGATCAAGAGATGCTTCCTGAGACGAGCATCACTGAGCACGGCTGTGCCACAGGGTCCTGCAGCAGCACAGGCACGGCTGGAGCAGCTCATTGGGCAAGACATTCTGCTTTTTGGGCTCCCACATGGCAGAAAACAGGCAGTTACTGAGAAACAACTGCTCTCATGCTGCTTCCCAACTTGTTACAGCAACCAGAACTATTTTCTGAACAGGTTCTGCCTTCAGAGCAGTTTTGCCTTCAGGTGCCATCCTCGGGCCAGCTCGCAGGAAGAAGAATCACAGAATGGTTTGGATTGGAAGGGATCTTAAGGATCAACTTGTTCCACCCCCCTGCCATGGGCAGGGACACCTTCCACTAGCCCAGGCTGCTCCAAGCCCTGTCCACCCTGGCCTTGGACACTTCCAGGGATGGGGCAGCCACAGCTTCTCTGGGCAACCTGGGCCAGGGCCTCCCCACCCTCACAGAGAGGAATTTCTTCCCAGTATCCCATCTAACCCTGCCCTCTTTAGAAGACCTCAGACCAAATGTACGTTTTTGGGGCCAGAAATGGGCTTATGAGGTTATCCAGGAGTTGAGGAGGAGGAAGGAGAATCTCAGGTTACACACACCTGGGAGCAGGAGATGCTTCCAGAAGGTTCATCAGCAAGGGCTGAATGAATCAGCAAGGGCAGAGTCAGCATCCCTTCCAGAGAGAGTCCTCTGAGCCCCAAGTGCATCTGAAATATAAAAATAGTGCTCTGATCAATAAAAGGAAAACAAAAATTACAGGAACAGGCATTTCTGAGCTATTCCATCCTTCCTGTATTTTCAAACTTTGTAAAGGTTCCAGCGTTAGGAACAACATCAGATTTATTTTCCACTCCCCTGTTTCTCATTTGAGGTGGTGGCTTTAGGGAGCTCATCCTCCCTGGTTCACAGTTCAGACACGGGATGCTGCTCTCCCAATTCCTCCCTCACTCCCTTCCTCCCCATTATCCCACAGCAAGGCTAAACAGGACTGGGAAAACTTAACAGTTCTGCTGCAGGAGGCCTTTTAGATTTGAGCATTTAGATCTGACTTCTGGAACTGAAGAAAGGAAAAAAAAAAATCGGGATGAGATTTTCCTACTGACATTGCACAGCCAAAATTTTATTAACTTGGAATTAAACGTGTCCGGAGAAAATGACTTTTTCCACTGGAGTTTTACCAGATGCATTTCAAACATCAGATTTCTCCTGTATGGACAACCCAGAATTCCCTGCCTTAAAAAACCAGGGCAACTGAGACCTGCTCAGGGTATTTTGGGAAGACAAATGGGGAGCTCTTAACTCTTCTTTTCTTTTTTTTTTTTCCTGCCTTTAAAAAAAGCAGGATGGGGGTGTGAAGCCAAGCAACCACATTTATGAATGGGAACAAGGACAGGGAGCACAGATTTTCTAGAACATACATATAAAGAAAAACATTGTTTGGATCTTCCAGATCCATCAAGTCCAAACTTTCCTTATGTAGATTCTCCCTAAATCAAAGGGAGATGACAAAGCTGCCTCCTGTACAGGAATAAGGTCAGTTTACCCAAAAACTTAGGGGATAAAGCTGGAATTTAGCAGGCCTAGGGGAATAACTGCTGTCCAAGGAGGTAAAAGGCACTGGTAGCATGTTTGGGTTTTCTCTAGAAATTAAACACAGAATTTAAACTCATGGCTGGCTGGTCATAAGGATGCTAAAAATCATTCCCAGGAAGCAGGATAAGGAAGAAAAGGAGACTATGGAAGAAAAGTCCCTACTGTCAGACAGGGTGTGTAGCAGACAGAGCAGGGAGAAGAGGTTTTCCAGCGTCCTTTTCCTTGTGAGAGCTGACAAATCCAGACTAACCCTGAGCCCACACAGTGGCCTAACCTACAGGTCCCTAAGTCCTCTCCCTTATCTCCCTAAATGAGCCCAGCACTGTTGTGCTGTGTGGTAATTAGAAGCAATTACAATAGAAGAGTTAATTACAACTGCTGGGAATGCCGATCTCCCTTTTCCTGCCCTTTCTTCCTGCTGTGACCTCGCTCCAGGACAACAAAAGGGGACAAGGGTCGCTAAAACATCCACTAAACATCAGCGGGGCTGGGCAGAGCTGAGCTTAACGGGCAATTAGCATCTGCCCCTAATCAAAACCGCCTCCAGTCAACACCCCCAGCGTCAGGATTGACAATGGGAAGGTTCAAGGAGTAGGAAAAGTGCCTGGGGGAGTCCCTGCTGCACTGGAGAAAGTGCTTGTTGGGGGAGACTCCCCCTGTGGTCTCATCCCAGGTGGCCACTGGGGAGTTTTCCCTTTCCCTTTTCTCTCTTTTCTCCTGTTAAATCCCCCTCCCCACACCCCAAAAAGGAACTTTTACTGCTGTAGTTGATGTTTAGCTCTAGCACCAGGTTCTGAGGGTAAATCTGGTGTGTGTGAGCCTGTCTGGTCATCTTTTGTGCAACACCAGACAGGGAAAACTCTGCAGGGAGCGTGGAGGTGGAATCACACAGGGAACAAAGCAGTGATAAATGCAAGTTTTTCCTAGGGGAAGATGCTGATCTCTGCTTAGAGGAAAAGTCACTCAAAATCCCAGAGTGGCTTGGGGTGGAAGGAACCTTAATGCTCATTTCATTCCACTCCCTGCCATGGACAGGGACACCTTCCAAAGACCAGGTTGCTCCAAGCTCCGTCCAAGCTGCTCTTGGACACTTCCAGGGATGGGGCAGCCACAGCTTCTCTGTGCCAGGGCCTCCCCCCCCTCCCAGGGAGGAATTTCTTCCCAATATCCCATCTAACCCTGCCCTCTGGCAGTGGGAAGCCATTCCTCCTTGTCCTGTCCCTCCATCCCTTGTCCAAAATCCCTCTCCAGCTTTTCTGGAGCCCCTTTAGGCCGTGGAAGGGGCTCTCAGGTCTCCCTGGAGCCTTTTCTTCTCCAGGCTGAACAATCCCAATTCTCTTAGCCTTCCCTCACAGGAGAAGTGCTCCATCCACAGAAGTCTTTAGCAAGGTAACCTCATTAAAGACATCTATTGCCTTAAATGAATGCAGAGATGATCTCCACAATATCCACCCACACATCAAAGCTCAGTGCAGGCCACTGAACTCCAAAGGATTTATGGAGTGGCACAAGGGAAGTGTTTCTGGAGATCTGTTTGCAGGTTTGGGGCTGGAAGAATGACAGGAAGATGCCCAACAACATCACAATCCCTACACTGCCCCACCCCTTGTTAATGCCCTCTCCTCTGTGTTGCAGTGGAATCAGGCTGCCACAAACATCCCTTCTCCAGGAGCATGAACAGTCCCACCAGCATTCCTGGGACTCACTCGTGGAAAAGCTCTGCACCCTTCCTGTGACTCCATCAGCTCCACACCACGGGAGGGGTGACTGGGGCATCCCACTGCTCAGTACCCAGAAACTCACTGCTTCTCCATGGGCTGGGATAAGCAGGGGGGGGTCTGTGCCCATCCCAGGGTGACCACAAAAGCCAAGACCTGGCCCTGACCCCGGGAAGGGGGCGAAGCAGCTCAGAACCCCAACTGTGCCGGGCAATCCCACTTCAACACGGGGTTGCTGCACCCCCAGCACTGTCCCCCAGCCCATCAGCATTCCCTGGAGCAGGAAGCTGCCCAGTAACAAGGCAGAGAGGATGAGCATCCCTCCCTCAGAGCTGACCTATGGCTGTGCTGCTTCTCCGTGGTGCCTCCGCAGCAGCCGGGCTGGCGCCTGGGGCCAGCACGGAGTCACTGACCTATTTTCGTATATGCAGGCATGCACAGGATCACAGACAAAGGCAGCTTTAGCTTAGGATATTTAAAGGAAAAGATACTCATCTGAACTACCCCCAGGAACCACAGTGGCTCTCGTGACGTTTGTTTTCTTCCCGAGCAGCATCTTGGTGTGGGGTTCTGGGAAAGGCGAAAACCGGCGCGGAGCAAAACAAATCAAAGAGCTCCACTGAGCTGCAAAATCACAGTTTTTAGGAAAGCAACAAAAGGGATGTGAGAATTTGGGAGTAAACCGGGCTTAGGGCTTGATAAACACAGGGGCAACCAGGACTCACTACGTGGAGGGAACAGAACTGAGTAAGAAGGAGCGGTCCTGCAGGACATCCCCCATCTCCCTGACACTGATGGATGAGCTGCCTGTGCAGACTCATCTAAACAGGCTGGAAACAAGTCAGCTTTCCCAGGGAACCTTTTGTTCAGGTTTGCTGATGGACTTGGCCCAAATTTCGAAGTATTTAATCCACACCTCTGTCAGGTTCTGGAGCTGGGTGGAAGTTGGTTGCATTTACACCAGCTGCTATCTCTGTGCACGTACCTGTAAGGGTGAGGGCCCTGCAGTTTGGTTCTCAGGTTTGAGATGCCACAAAAATCCCCCCTCCAAAGCCCTTGAACTGCACTCCTTAGCCTGGAAAACCCACAGACAATCCCAGGAGCCCTACGGAAGTTCACAGACCTCTCACAGGAGGGAGAGATGTGCTGTGCAGAGCAAGAGCCTGCAGAGATGCAGAGACCAGGAAGGCACCACAGATCCCTCAGTCTAGCTCTGAGCCCCCAGCATTTTTTTTTGGTTGGTTCAGTGAAGTGGAAGAAGCCTCCAGCAGTTTGGATCACTGGCTTGCTTCATATTCTGGATTGGGAAACGCCTGCTCACGCCACAGCACTGCACAACATGAAGGATGCAGTGATGAATAACACAGAAAAAGTTCCTCCAAACAGCGATGATGACAAGAGTTGCTCAATACCACAGGCTGGCAGCTCTCCTGGGACTCTCCACACAGCTGGGAAAGGTGCTGTTGCCAGGAGTTGTTGGTGACAGAGCAGGGGCAACAGCCTCCCCCCCCCAGACACGCACGGGCAGGAAGGAAAGAAAGAACAAGGACAGATCTCAGCGTCCCGAACAATGAAAACAGGAAAGTCCCTCTCGGCTGGGGAACCCGGACAAGGGCTGAAACCTGAGCTCCATCCTGCTTCCAGGCAGCTTGGGGGGGTCTGCTCAGCCTCCTGTGGAGAGGGGGGGTAAAAAAAGCACTGTTGCAGCTGGAGCATCCTGTGGAAGGGAGGGATGAAGGGAGGGAGGGATGGAGGGAGGGATGGAGGGAGGAGGGGGGCACCCCCAGCCCTGGGGGCTGCCAGGGGGGCTCCAAGCAGCATTTCAGCTGAAATGCCACCTCTCTCTGCACCCCCCCTCCCCAGTCCTGGCATCCCTGCCCTCCATCCTCTCACCCTGCATCCCCCTGGGTACCAGTCCCTCACTGCCTCGCCCCTCCAGCCCCACATCCCGCCCTGGCTCCCAGGAAACCACTGCCAAGCTCTGCTTCTGCACATCCCGCATCCCCCCCCAGCCCATCCTCCCCCCTCCCTGGGCTGACCTGCTTATTTTCTGCGTCAGAACCATAAAATGGAGACTGCAGGGAAGGAAAACATTCCTCCTAAGATGGCTGAGGGAGGAGAAGGATTTGCACGGCAGTGCACGAGCACCCTCTGCTGTTGGATGAGCCTGGGGGGGGCAAAACAGCTCCCCAGCCCTGTTCCAGCCCCACAGGCTCCAGGCAGGAAAAGAACCCCCAACCAGCCCTTACTGGGTCATTAAAATTGTTGTAATAGCCAAAATATTTGATTAAAAAGCTTCAGCAGCCTTGTCACCTCCTGAGCTCTCCTGGTTGCCTCTCCCTGCCACCTCATTTTTATTTATATTTTCCTCGCTGTGTTACGTTCAAAATCCTTAGAAAAAGGACAGTATTTTGTATTAAAACCAGCATATTTTACACACACAACTCCTAAAAATTAGTGCCAATGCCCTGCTCACTTTTATAATTTTCCAGGTTTGACAAAAAATATTAAATTTCATTTGTATTAAGTTGCACATCAGGATGAGTATCCAAAACTTTGTGTTATTTCTTGTGGGATGGGAAAAAGGGTTGAATATAGACACGAGGGGAGAACCAGCCCCTACCTGTGGCCAGATATTGTCCCTAGGAAAGGTTTAGGGACGGAAGGGTACATGGGAAATCCTTTAAGCTTCTCCCTGAGTATCCAACTTTAGGGCCAGGAGTTTGTCCATGTAGGGCCAAATCCAGCTGGATCTGAGGCTAAAATTCTTTTTGCTTAAAAAGTTTCAGCAGCCTTGTCACCTCCTGAGCTCTCCTGGTTGAATCTACCTCCCCTTTTTTACTTATAATTTCCTTGCTGTGTTACGTTCAAAATCCTTAGAAAAAGGACAGTATTTTGTATTAAAACCAGCATATTTTACACACACAACTCCCAAAAGTTAATGCCACAGCCCTGCACACTTGTATAATTTTCCAGGTTTGAGAAAAAAATATTAAATTTCATTTGTATTAAGTCGCCCATCAGGATGAGCATCCAAAACTTTTTGGGATGGGAAAAAGGGCTGAAGATGGACATGAGGGGAGAAGCAGCCCCCACCCGGAATGAGGTGACCAGATATTGTCCCTAGGAAAGGTTTAGGGATGGAAGGGTACATGCAAAACCTGTTCCCTGAGTATCCAACTTTTAAGCCAGTTTGTCCATGTAGGGCCAAATCCAGCTGGATCTGAGGCTAAAATTCTATTTGCTTAAAGTGCTTCAGCAGCCTTGTCACCTCCTGAGCTCTCCTGGTTGAATCTACCTCCACTTTTATGCTTATATTTTCCTCAATGTGTTACGTTCAAAATCCAATGGAAGAGGACAGTATTTTATATTAAAACCAGCATATGTTACACACACAACTCCTAAAAAGTAATGCCCCAGCCTTGCACATTTGTAATTTTTCCCAGCTTTGAGAAACACCACTATATTTAATCTGCATTGAGTTTCACATCAGGATGAGCACCCAAAATTTGGTGTTACCTCCTGTGGGAGGGGAGAAAGGGCTGAAGATTGATATGAGGGGAGAACCAGCTCCCACCTGAAATGGGGTGACTGGATTTTTTGTCCCTAGGAAGGGTTTAGGGGTAAAAGGGTTCGTGCCAAACCTGCTCCCTGAGTGTCCAACTTTTAAGCCAGGAGTTTGTCAGTGTGGATCCAAATGCAGATGAATCTGAGGCTAAAATTCCCAAGTGAATACTGCAAAATGTTTTCCCAAGATCAGTTCAAAAAGGGCCAAAAGGCATCACTCAGGTGGGAGGTGAGGAACACAAACTGACCCAGGATCCTGAGACTTTTGAGTTAATTTAAACACTGAGGAGGATGACAAAAAAAACCAAGGAGCTTTAGAAAAGGAAAAGACAGAGAAAAAGCACCTATAAAGATGATGGCAGGTAAAATGCCAGCACTGAAGGGTTGGATTCAGGCAGGAATGGGTTGCCCAGCACAGTGCCAGGTGTGAGCACTCACCCCCCCAAAACTGCAGAGAAAGTCTCACTGGTTATATAACAACCTGCAAAAATATCTCTGAGGGCTTTTCCTGGGAGAGAAGAACCCCTTTTTGTGGGATCAGGGTGAGGCTGAGCCAGAGCTGGAGCTCTGAGGTGCTGCTCCTGCTATTGCAGGATGGCTGGGTGTGGATGGAGCAGGGAACACCCAGGATGGGACACCCAGAGAGGCTCATTTATATACATATAAATACTGTCATTTATATACATATAAATACTGTCATTTATATACATATAAATACTGTGGGCACAGCCCCCTGCATGGCAGGGGACAAGTGAGGGTGGCACTGGGACAGCAGGAGCTTGGCAGGGCAGGGGCACCTGAGGAGGGGGTATTTTTGCAGTGTTGCTGCATAAAAAGGGGCATCAAAAGCTGAGGTGCCAGGACACCTCATCCTGTGAGCAATGGGGACTGAAAAGCTTGCCAAACATGGCTCTGGGGCTCCTGAACCCGGGGGTATTCCCAGCACTCCCCGAGTGACTCAGCATGGGAGTGCTGGGAAAGCACAGTGACACAGCAGGGTGGACCCAGCCTGGGCAGGAGCAACGGGATCTGTGGGAGCCCGGGATCGGGGTACACCGGCACTGCTGGGGCTGCAATTCCAGCAGGGAAGGAGGTCTGGGGGGGACAGGAGCAGGGGAGCACTACACCAGCCCCAGGAAGGGGCTGAGAGCACCGGGCAGAGTGGGGGGCACTGGAGAGATGCACTGGGAGCCCTCCAACAGAGAGAGGGGCTTGCACAATGCTCCAGAGATCCCTGTTTCATTTAATAGCACAAAACACTGCTAATCCCTGTTCCTGCTCTCAAAATGCCTGATAACTAAGCACCCAAAAGCCTGCTGATGCCAGCTGAGGGGGGCAAGTGCTGCCTTTGTGTGCCAGGACAGGGGATTTCTCCCTGGGCCCCCCCTTCTCCCCCCAGCAGCAGATGGAGACCCACTCCCAATTATGTTCTTGTCACAGGCAGAATAAAGAAAGACAAATGTCCCAAAGAAAGCTGTTTGGGAGGACAAAGGCTCCTTGAAATAGAAGCTGAGCTGTTTTTTCCAGGTTCAGAGCAGGGGACGGAGGGAGGGGGGGCTGGATGGGCAGGATGCGTGCGCAGCCGGCACTTCCCGTCTTTGTCTTGGAAAAGGAGGTCACGGGGAGGGGGGACGTGAGGGGGGTCGGGGGATGCAGGGGAGGATGCGGAGCCGCGTCAGCAGCGCGTCAGGAGAGCAGCTGATCCCGGCTCCCAATCCCGATGCTCTGAGCTCATCCCTGGGAACGGAGCCAGCGCGGCTCAACTGCGCTCACCTGGCGCATGGAATCGGTACTGCGGGGACCTGCGGACACCCGCACACGGAGAGGGGGGCACCGGGGAAAACCCCCCGGTTCCACCGCCGAAATTCCCCCGACACCCACATGAAGTGAAAAACCCCTTAGGGAACCCCTTGCCCTAACTTGGGGCGCAAGCAGGGGCTTCTCAAAGCTCACAGTGCAAATAAAACCCGTCCCCAGCGCTGGTGCCCCCTGTGAATGTGATGGGGGAGTGTGGTGGGCACTGCCCGGCTCCCAGTGCCTCCCAGTAACACCACACGCCGGCGGGCAGCCCACCAGTGACACCCCAAGTGCTCCTTGCAGTGGCAACACCCTGGGACGGGCAGGAGCTGCACCCCAGAGCTGGGGGCACGTGTCACCTGCAGCTCCCCCAAAAGCGAGGGGTGGCAGGTGACTGTCACCAGGTGATGCCACCACGGTGCCAGTAGTGATGGGGACAGCAGCAGCTCCTCACTCCCAAAGATCCAGCCCCAGGACACAGCCTGACCTCGCTCCCACTGACTTTTGCACATGGCCTCTCTTAAAATTGCCACTTCCACCCAGGAAAACACCTGGACCAGGGTGGCTGCTGCAGCTGGACCAGGCCAGGTGCCCCAGGGGTGGCACTGAAATGGCAGGAAAAGTGCTGCTTGCCCTAAAACGTCAGGGAAGGTCAGTCCAAAACACACAGGCAACACCGTCACCTGTTGTGAGGTGAAAACAGCTGCTAAAAACCACAGCTGGGCTACAGAAAGTTTATGAGGGGGGAGGTTCTTCTCTCCAGGCTCTGACCCACAGGTGGGAATAAAAGGGGGAGTGGACAAGCACCTCCCAGGCCAGCCAACACTCCACCTGTACTTACAGACTGCACAGGTGAGGAGAGGAGTGACTCCAGTTTCCAGGAACTCCAGGGAACAGGCTCAAAACCCTCTCCCAGGGCATCACACAGGGGGTGGGTACCCCACGTGTCCTGCAGAGATGAAACACAAGATCTAGGGAGAAATTTCTCCAAACAGGCCTCCAAACAAGGGAATATTCATTTTCTCACCAGCACCCCTCCCAGAGCCCTGTCAAAGCCCTCTGATGCTGTTAGTGTGTGTTCAACACCACTCCAGGAGAAATGAGGAAGCAAGAGCAGGGAGAAGGTGAAGGGATAACAGCCACCAGCTCCAACCAGGGGAATCCAGGCTTACTTAGGGAGAATATTTCACCAGGGTGGTTAAACACCAGAGAAGGGACCACAGTTACATCGAGAGGGCCAGGGAAATTCCTGTCATTGAAAGTCCTCCAAAATGCCTTGAGCAATCCCTAACTTTTGGATTAGCCTTACTTGGAGCAGGAGGATGAACCCGAGACCTCCAAAGGAGCCTTGAATGTGAACTGTCCTGGAAGGACCCTGGTGAGCTCCCCTTATTCCTTCTCTTCAGCAAAAACTTTTTGATTTACCAGCTCCCTGGTTTGTGGGCAGATTTCTGCATTTTGTCCCAGGATATTCCCGAGCAACAGAGGAAGAGAGAAGTTTCTGTCCCTGTTTGCTGCTGCTTCTCAGTCAGTGTTGGCACAATAGGAACAGAGGAGCTACAGCCTCAGAATTCCAAAGGCCTCTGCCTCACCAGAGAGAGGTGACAGAGCTGGAGGCACTGGGATGGACATGGAAAAGGGAAGGAAGTACTGGCTAGAGGAGACACTTGTGCCAGCAATCCCTGCAGAAAGACATCCACGAGCAAGAGAATGCCACA